AAAAAAAACAAAACAAAAACAAACAAACAAAAAAAACAAAACAAAAAAATCAACCTTAGGCTGAGACCCAGCATAAGAAATTTCAGCCTAAACGGAACATTTCTGAGAATATTATAAACAACTCAGAGTGATTTAGAATGGAATGCCCATAGTACCCTTGACTAAAGTGTTGCTACCAAACACAGTGCAGTTAAGGAAATCCCAATAGTACTAATGACAGAAATATGCTTTAAGTGTAAATTTCAGGTGCATTTTTCTTTTTATTGCTACTGTATTCAGCAGTGTCTTGTAGAATTTTCTCTGTGACTGGTATTTTCCATTTCTGCTTTATTTCATCTGACACAACTGAGTAGAAGCAGTTGAAAACTTCAGAAAAATGAATTTGTTCTTAACCTTGTGCCATTTTTCTTTGGTTTTTCTCATCTGGTAGCAGAGAAATACCAAGACTAGACACTGCTGTGTTTATCTTTTGCATATAAATGCCTGGCAAACCAATATACAAGCTGCAATCCAGACTGGAAAGTATTTAAAATAAAGAATTACTGACTGCTTTCTTTAAACATACACATTTTTGGCACATCTGTAGCATAAGGGTGCACCTTAGGAAAAAAAAACATTTATAAAAGGTCTTTGGGTAAGTTATTGCATTAACAATTTGACTCACATTTACAAAGATTGGATCAGGAATTTCTACTATAAGAAGCTATCACTACTCCTTGTTTTCCCTACTGAAGACCAAGGACCTTAAAACTAGGCCAGAAATGCTGCTCACAGTGTAATCTTGTTAAACAAAGAAAATATTTTGGGGCTCAAACAAAAGAACAGGGTACAGTTCTTACAAATATGATCATCGTCAAATTGCTTTCCTTTTTGCAGCAGCCTGGCAATTATTTCCCCAACAACAGAATTATATTGCAACAGTCAAAGAAAAAAAAAGGGGGGCCTTATCAGACCTGTCACATAAATGTATACAGACAATACCTTGCTCTTTGATTTTAGTTACAGAAAATAAATAACTTGATTCACCATAGATAGAGAGAAGCAACCACTGTGATTTCAAAACACATTGCGTGAAATTCTGTCCCTACTGAAGTTAATGAAAGTTTTGCCATTGACTTCAAGGAGGGCAGGATTTCACCATTAAAATATTAGCACGAGATACCTAGCATGCAATCTAGGCACCAATCTTTTAGGTATAAATAACATCAGTGGCATCTGAGTGTCATGTATCATCACAAAGCAAATTACTGTATTTCAGATTTAGAGTATTTCCACATTGAGTTAAAAGCTAAAGTATGCACTCTCAGGAAAGTATTCATTTGGTAATAATTTAAGTCATGGAACCATAGGAACCATAAAGATGTAGAGTCCTGGGGACACTCTGTGGAAACAAAAGACCAGATCCTCAAATCCAACAGCCTTGATGTCAGTTTACACCAACTGTAGATATGTCCCTACATTTTAATTCTTACTGCAATTTAGAGGGAATAGGGAATACTATAGTGTTACACTCTCAGCCACTCTAGGGCCTTGCCCAGGTTATTCTCCATTTTACTCTTCCAGTACAAAGAGGCCTTCAATTCACAACATTCCTGTCATTAATGAGAGGAGCTGGAAATGGCTACTACAACGGGTCAAGAAAACCATTCTGTCATTTGGCTGGAGGCACCTCTAGAGAACATATTTTTACTAGGGCTAGTTAGAAAATTTCCATTGACACTGTTTGATGGGAAAAAATTAGGTTTCAGCTAAATTAGAGTTTTCACAAAAAGTATGTGCTTTCCACGGAAAATTCGATTGCTCATCAAAAATTTGGCCAAAATCAAAAATGTATAGATTGATAGATTCTGAAATGCCATTGTGGTGCCTCATAGGAGTTGTAATTTGGGTCACTCATTCTCTTCTATAATCTCCCACGATGCATCATGGCCATGCAACAGCCATGATGCATCACCTCCCTTCTCACCAAGATGTGAGACAATGGTAATCTGACTAGGGAGTCCACCTTACGGAGGAGAATGGAAGCACCTGACACCTGAACTCTCAAGAGGGACTGCAAATGACATTTCAGAATCTATATGTTTTGATTATCTGCTGAAATATTTCAGGTTTCTCATGTTTTGCTGAAAATGATATTTTCAACAGAAAAAGCTCACATTTCTGACCTGCTCTGTAAATTATTTCTTTTCCTCTAAGATTTTGCCTGTTGCCTCTATAGCATGTCCTTCTGGGGTTTGATTAGTTAACAGTTATATAGTTAGATGCAAATCATTATAATTAAGTAGCATTAATTATGATTAACCTTGGTACCCTGGGGATGGAAAGAGCAAGCCAGGACCTCCAAAATTCTTAATCCATGCTGACAGAACATTACAAAAAAACTTTGAGTCAGTTCAGCATGATGTTCTATTTTCTGTATTCCACATTCCTCATATCATAATGGAAAAACATTCATAAAAGTGGGTCTTTGTCTGCCTTGGATTAATTTTCCCCCTGGGAAGTCATGGACCTCTTTTTTTCAGATCATCTCCTCCTCCTCCTCCACACCAACTATATATGATGCCAAATATGGAGGATAATGATTTATGGTAGGGTAATAAGAAACACAAGCAAGTGAACACTTAATGGTCCTGTTTTCAATACAACTTCTCTTGTACCTCAAAATATGTGGAGAAACAAAGCAAACAAACATTTGTATGACTAGCAGATAATCCAAAAAGTGTTTTCAACATTTTCCATTTCCATAAAGAGCCAAAATGTATCTTCCCCATTTTTTGTTGTTGTTGTTGTTTTTAATACTAAAGGAAACAATATGTATAGTGAGAAGAGTTCTCACCATTTTAAGGAAAATAACCCAATAATCTCAAAAAGAAAAAAATGTTTTTAAAAACAATTTTATAAAAAATACATGGAAACACAACATAATCTTTTGGCAGCTATATCCCAGCATGGGAAACTGCAGACAGAATGAACTTGGGCTGAAGTTAAATACTAAAGAGAGATATTTAAGTATATGAAATCATTTCAGACAAGCAGTACTATGAAGTGCACCTCCATCCAGTAAGTACCTGCACTGTGTAAATATTTGCTCCATAAATTTGCAATAGAATCAGAGTCCAGTCTTTGTTTTCTTAATTGTGAAAAGGGCATTCACTCTAAAATATTTTCCCCTTTACTTAAAAATCAATAGTGTGACTTAGCTACCTGATTTTCTAGGTGCTAGGTCCCAACAGTTTCCATTGACGTTAGCCACTCAGTAATCTAATTTCAGTGGGAATTATGCATGCTCAGCCCTTCTGAAAAGCAAGCCCTTTTTATTTAGGTGCCTAAATATAAGCTTACATGACAAATTTTGCTAATGTGAGTAATTTCATTAACTTCCCATGGAAGTCATTGAGATTACTTGTATGTGTAAAGTTGTGCATGTCTATAAACATTTGCTGTTTCGGGGCCTACATCTGTAAAATTTCATTTTATTTTGACATTTATTAAATCATAGCAACATTCTTATGTTCACCGAGTTACCAAAAATGATAACTATATACAGCATACAATAGACTTCGTAGCTCCTCTAATGTAAGGTGTAATCCACTTCAAAGTGCGTGTTAGAATGACTGGACAAGCTCCCGCTTATTTGACAGTCACAATCTTAACCAACATACTAGCTTGAGCTAAAGAGCCAAGATTTTCTAGCTGAGAGTTGTAACAGACCTACATCATCTGTGGATTGGCACAAAGGGGCACCTGTTATACACACAAACCAGAGGGTTTCAGAAGACACAGGCAGTTATGCCACTTTTTTTAAAGTGATCATGCCTTATTTCTATCATGGTGCAAGAAAGCTCAAAAAAGTAGAGTTTGGGTATTTTGTTTGTTTTGGTTCTCTTTGTGGGATGACCTTGCTAGATTTTTGTCTCCCCCTGCCATAATAGGTCAAATATTTTAGGATATCATATCTGGATACCGGGCCCTGTCTATGACTCACTATAACATATGCAGGAAAAACCTCTCAATGACTTTCAGGACTTAAGTGAACAAGATTTCATTGTCTGGATTAATAGTGATGTATCAATTACATGCTCTAATGCATCATTCATGGTCATGTGGAAAAAGACAGAAAAAGTTTAGCGCAAACTGAAATTTTTACTCATTAGTAGACTTCATGACTGTTAGGATGCATTTATAAAAAACATTTCAATAAAAGTTTGTATCAGAAGCTATTTGAAAGACATTAGATGTATTTTTATGCCCACGTTGATTTTTTTCCCTGAGATATTGCTCCTAATATTCTTTCTAAAAGAGTATTATTAACAGTCATTGTAAAAATGAAGACACCTACTTTTCTTGCAAAATAAGTTTGTTTTCCTTCTTCCAGAGGTCTTTGAAGTCAGAACTGAATTCATGCCAAATACTGAAGAAAGCATGAGGTGACACTTCCTTCTCTCCCATTTTTGGTTTCATACAGAAATAGGCTGCAGTTTCCAAAAAGCTGCCAAAGACAACAAAACCACCAAGTATTTTATTATCTATTGATATAGAATTTTCTTTCTGCATCCAAAACCTGGCATAATACACAATTGCTATTGGTAATAGGAGTGAAATATACAGATTATCTAGCTCTGATGTTTTCCTGTACATATTCTAATATATTTCCTCAGCAAGGGTTGGGGTTTGATATTTAATCTCACACACGGTTTTTAACAAAAGTATTGTCCATTCTAAACCCAAGAATGAATGTACTCTCTTCGGAGCTCAGCAAAGCCAGACCTTAACTCCTTTCCTCGCATTGCATTTTTATTATATTTGAAACCATTTTCAAAACAGAGCTGAAATCTAAAGCAGTTCTAACCACAGTCTTTCACTATGACACAATACAATAGACAATCTAGGTGGAACAGTCCATAGAAAGGTGGTGTTAAAACAATTATTTTCTACCCTAGACAATAGCAAAACTGGTAGCATCAGTCATGCTAGAAAATACTTATCAATCATGATTCTGACATAACTGTGTTTGACACCCATTTCTGAACATAGATATTGCTAGCATAGATGACAAAGTAGCGTATGTAGAGCTGAAGTGCAAGCAAGAATTGCTTGTGAAGGATACAGGAGGCTACATACCAAGATTTAGCACAATGGCTGTGATTTCAATGAAATTTGAAAACCCCCATAATTAGAGCTTCTCTCCCTTAGTTCCAAATTAAAAAAAAAATGGTCTCACGTGAAAAAAAAAATTAGGAATTTCAATTCAAAAGGATAAAGTTATCTCAAGGAATAGGTGTATAATAATTTTATTGAAATCTCATCAATTTTATTTGTAATTAAAATGCCAACGTGTTCAAAATTCAAAATATTCTTAATACAATTATTACATCAAAATATGATAATTTAAATTTTCACTTGTTTCTATGAAAAAAATGGCCAGTTTGTGAAAAAATGTTGTGGACAACAAAATGGCTCAGAATACAATTCAGAATTTTTTTTTTATTTTTGTGTTACACTATTTGTGTAACACTTCCAAAGCCTGCTGGTTTGGGGTGCAGAAGAATGGGACAAGACGACAGTAGAGCAATGGACACTAAAAAAAGAGAGAAAAGACAGACAGGGAACCAGATTGGTGTCCCACGTCGTAATTCAGATTACTATTCAGCCACCCATGCAATAACATTTTATGAACCTTACATAGTGAGATCATATTAGTCACAGAATGAAATCTTGGTCACGTTGAAAACAAAGGAAATTTTGGCATTGACTTCAATGTGGTTAGGATTTCACCAATTGAACCAACTGACTGATTACCTTAATAATAGTTACGGCAAGAGTGCTAGGACAGTTAGTGCACATGCCAGCCAGCTAATCAAAAGCATATGCAGAGTGACGGGCATTACAGGATGGCATGGGAATCTTCAGGCACCTTTTGAGTCAGTGGCCATTTTTGAGTAAGCTACTTAAAGACCCTTCTGTGTTTGCAAAACACAGAAAAATCAGAAGTCAAAGAAAGAAGAGGCTCTGTTCTGACAAACACCTAGGCAAAGAGGCTCCAACAAATGACACAGGGATATCAGAGCCAATTATAGCATGAAACAAGGGAATCCTAGTAGTGAAAGGACTGATCTGCAAAAAACATTATCATGCTGACTAGAAGATGAACATCACAAGAGAATGAAAAACAGTCATCTCAAGTAATATGTTTAAATTTGAGGTAACGAGCTATAATACCTCTACATGAAACTATCTCATCAACCAGGGAGCCAGGCCAGAATGAAATTCCAACAAATATGTGTTTGAGTTTGATAAATGGTACTAACATTTACAGAAGACATGAAGGCTTTCATTATCAATCCATGGGATCAAAGGGAGTTAGTGAGGCTTTTCCTCTGATCATTGCTAATCTTGCTGGGAACCACCAGTATAGCCAATTCAGCCATATATCTAGGTTTAACTCCGGCTAATGGCATTCCTTCTTCCAGTCAGTTACAGCAAAATGCAAGTCCCCTGCCAGATTGATCACCTCCCATGGCAACCAATTTGAGGGAAGGGGAAATTAAGCTGCTTGTAAAATGTGAAAGACCAGAAGCTTGGCAGATTGTCAGTTAATGTGCCATTTTTCTAACACCTGTTCGTGCAAATGCAGAAGACACAACCTGCGACACAGTTGGGCCTAAAAGCAGGAAGCCCCAGGAATCTAGCTAGTTATCCTGGTAGCACAGGTGAAGAAAATCCAAAGTAATCATTTCAACTTCTTCAGTCAGAGGTATTTTGATGTTCTCCTTATTGTATCTTGAAAGAGAAGGTGGTAAGATTCTGATATGAAAAGCAAAAGATCAAGATAAAGCAAGGGAGAAGTGACCCTAGATCCCCAGAAATTTGGGAAGGAGTAACTTGTTTATATTAGCATACTCTGTGAATATCAGATTTTGAAATCCATAAGATTACATATGTTAAAATAGAGAGAGACCTCAAAGCTGACTTTGGAAGGGACATTCAGTTTATGTCTCAATTACAAAAAGGGATTTAGACAAAGCTGCAAATAAACCCATAAGGTTAGGAGGGGATATTGCCATTTCAGACCACATTACTGAGCCACACAACAGATACCTTCTACATTGCATTTCAGCAGGGCAACTCATCCAAGTGCTTTGTTGGTCCTTTAACAAACCCTGAAGCAAAACACATTCCAGTAGTGCTTATAGCTACATGTGCAGCATGTGTATGGTAGTCAGAGTAGGGGATTGGGACTCAAGACCCCTGGGTTCCATTTCCAAATCTGTTTCAGTAACATATGACCTTGTGAAAGTCACATACGCTCCCTGTGCCTCACCTACCCTATCTGTGAAACGGGTATACGTACTACTCCAAAGAGGTGTTGTGAAACTTGCTTAATGTTCATAAAGCACTATGAGTTCATCAGATGAAAGGTGCCTAAGTCCCCCATACTACTAAGTCATGTTTCAAAACAACACAAAATCTGTGTGTCAGAGAAGGTGGGAGAGAAGAGGGTTAGGGTTATTTTCAAGGATTAATAGAGGTACAGGAGGTCAGTGGCTTTGTTCCAGTCAGTGTGACTTTTCAAGCCTGATTAAAAATAAGGCATTGATGTTCACACTGCTGCCTTATCCAGACAGGGCAAAGGCCAAATATCTGTTAAAAGGATTTTAAATAGGTTTTCATATTCCCCACACTGGCCCCAAAGAACATTTAAATGTCTTTAAATCTGCTAAATCTGTGAAGGTGGTGGTTTCTGAGAAAATAAATAAGGAAGTTAGATTAGGGAAGGTGGTTAGCTTCCCTCCCTCCCCCAATCTTCCCGCCCCCCAATCTAGTCTCTAGAAACTTAATTGTTTCATTTCCAGGCACATTTCAGAAAAACATCCTAGACCTTGCTACATGCTACTTATTTTACACCTATGCTATTGTGCATTTTTCTACAGATATTCAACTACATAAAACAACTAAACCTAACAATCAGCATTATTAGAAAAACCTGACAATCACATCTTTAAACCTACTCTCCACCAGCATGTCTACCTACTGGGTCAAATCAATTAGAAATATTTTGTGAACAAGCCATAGATTGCTTTACCATTTTGTTCTCTAGTTAACACACTACAGCAGCTCACAATGATTCAAATTCAGGTCTGCCATGTGTCATACATTGATTGGACAACTATCCGTTCATCTGGCCAATTTATCAATACCAACAAAATGTGTGTGTATGGAGATCGCTCTCTTAATTTGTGGATGATATGAGAGTGCCTATTGCTGAAGGAAGAGGAATGGAGGAACAAACCAACAAATTGGCACTTTTAAGAAATGAATCAGAATTAGTGCTACTCAGCAATGAAGAAACAGCTGCAGAGTCTCCTCAGAAGGGGCTACCCAGGCTCCAGCAGCCAACAAATAAAGGTAACTGTAGGTCCAGAGACATAGTTTGAATGTCACTTGCAGTGACATTATTCCTGGCTGACCTTACTGAGAGATGGTTAACCCACACTCTCTCTCTCGCTCTACATCCCAGTTCCAAACACACAAAACAAAACACCTGCAGGCACATCATAATAGTAGTGATCAATCTAAACATGGATTTAAGAGCATGAAGATGATTCTAGGTTGTTTAACAACAAATGAAGGATTTCATCTGCAGCTTTACTTGGATGCTCCTGATACCTCAGGTTTTGGAGTCTAAATGATCAGTTACTATTGATATGCCCTAAAGTCGCTACTCACTTTAGTAAATTTGAGTTTAATTAATTGACATTACCTCATGGGATTTTCCCCCACGGTAGCAGTTGTGAGGCTTTTGGGTTCCAGAAGCATTCCCTGATTCAGATAGTAGGTCTACCTACTTCATAAAGTACATGCTATCCAGTGATTAAAGTCACAGGTAAAACAGCTAATAACTAAGGTCGAGTAAGGGGAAGTGTAGGTATGTTTGGAGAGGGAGAAGAACAGCTAGATGTAATCAACAAGACAGTATACAAATGCATGCAACTTATTGCTCTATTTAAATTTGACATGAGTTGTATTATATTAAGGCCTAACTTGTGTAGTGAGGCTTTATAAGTCCATTATAAGGGCAAAATTTGGCCCTTTGGATTTAAGGTGAGACATGAAAACAAGAGTACAGTGTATAGCTAGCAGTTAGTGGCTGCTTTCTGGAAAGTTAGTCAAATGAATTGTCATTATTAACCCCTCTCAGCATCATTTTGTTTAGAGGCAAAAGCAATGACTAATATTCAGTTGTCTCTTGTATAGAATATACAGCTCATATAGTATAAACATATTAGTGAGAACATGTAACCATGGAAACTCCATCTATCTGATCAAGGTTAGGCTTATGATTTGGAGGGCTCTCAGCAGCTCTAGCAGGTGGAATTAAGCCTCTTTCCTCTTGGGTCCTGCTTCAAAAAAGGATAAAAGGGGCTGGCCTCCTAGTTTCTGAGATAAAAGACTGGGAGAAACAGGATCCCAAACAGTCACTTGGACAAG